AATATACTAAATAACACAAATGCAGAAAATGCAATGAATTTTCTCCTAAAGATTAAAGGTTTAGCAATACTTTTTTTTTTTTAATGCATACTGTTCTTTTGGGTCACTTGTCTCTTTGGGTGTCCTCAGACAGCAGCTGGTGAGTTCTTTCAGGGTTGGGAGTGAGAGCTGGCTGTGAGTGATGTGCTGCAGGTGGTATTGCCTTGCTCTTCCCTTGGAGAAATGGAGCCGATGGCCAGTTTAGGGAAACTGAGTTGCTGCCTCCTTTGCTTTTGAAATTCAACTGGTCCAATGAGTAAAGAGCAATAAGTCACTTTCCTGATGACTGTTCATAATCAGATACTCCCCAAAATTCAGAAACAAGAATGGGTTGGAGGTCATTGTTCAAAGCAGGGGCCAGACTTTTTCTCTTCTCTCTGAAGGTATTTTTTGTTAATACCTGTGAGTTCCATGTTCTCTGTTGCTTTTGTGGTACAAATGAGTGCTGCTGCCTTCAAGTTTTGCTGGTGCTTCTTGCAGTCTTTTTTCTGTGTTGCTGCTCTTGTTGCAGTTTTCCTGTAGCTGGCTCGCCTGCAGATTCTCTCTTTGTGTTATCTTTCTTGTTTGTTTTTCTTCACTCAGATTATCTACTTTACTTTGGTTTTGTGCTGTGGTTTAGCTGCTTATCTTGCAATATAATTCCCATCTTTCCCCACCCCTTGTGTTGTCTGATGGCAACTAGTTTGCTTCATTTGCTTTTTACAGGGCTACGTCTGAGCTGTATGTCATCATGTGAAGGATACTTCAACAGTTCATCTTTCATTTTCAAACAGAGTGAGAAGTCTTCAGGATGACTCTTTATCTTTCTGGATGTTCTTGAACGCCTCATAGATAAAACAGCAAATGAAAGGATACATCCCTGGTTTTTGTGTAGGGGAAATGATTTGAATACCTTAATTTAACTTTATCATCAGTTCCATATTACCTGCTTCAGGAAAACCTGCAGATAAAATATTTTTCTTGATTGCTGTGCTTCCTTATACGCAGACCTGTCCTTTGCATGTGTCTGCTTTGTTCAGATTAATTTCAAGCCATTTGCCTGCTTTGAACAAGGGCTTGAGGAATGCTCATCTCTTCCATATCGTTCTAACTACACAGGACTGTATCCTGTCTCCTTTTTTTGAGCAAAAGCAAGTGTTTCAGTTCCTTTTTGTTCCATTTCCCACAAGACCCCATGGCAAGTGGTCAAGATTGTGCCAGTTTATTGAGCGATCTTGTCAGCTTCTTTTATTCTTCTTTTTGTTTTTGGAGCCTCTGCTTGGTATGGTCGTAATATTTTTATGCCTTAAGCTTTTTCCATGTGAGATTACATACATGAGAATACCCAGATAATCCATCCTCACTTCACCTTCCCCAGTTAAATCTTACTCTGTGGTAAAAAAATCTTCAGGAATGTTGTTCCTTTTTCAGGAACATTCAGTGTGGTAGTGAGTTGATTGATTAATAGTCTGATAGAGCTTATCTGAATTGCAGATACGAAGTTAGGCAATAGTAAGTCTGCTATTACTGTTTACATGCTATGTGGAAAAAATGTGCTGAATGAGGTGTCCTATGTTCTTTGGAGGGGTTTATAGTTTTGTCACCTTGTTACAAGTAACCTGCCAGCTTTCCTGATTAGAAATGGTACATTTGTGAATTCCTGTGCACTTGTTCTGATTTTCCTAGATTTCTTCATTTTAGTATTTAATGAACTATTATGCATGAATAAGGGCAGCTAAGGAAATGGGTTGTAAAATATAAAACTGGCTAGGAGAAGACTGAGGGATCGGGAAGAAGGTGAACCATCAAAGATGGCTTATTAAATAGCTCAGAGGAAAGCTGAGGAACCAAATCTGTGTTGTGGTTTTTTGGTTTGGTTTTTTTTTGCCTTGTTGCTCAAGGGCCCTGCAAACTTGAGTGTTCATGTCTTGATATGCATGAATAGACATGTACACAACGCCTTCAAGCCTTGGGAGAATGTGGTTAAAGTATTTCTGTCAATGCTGTCCTGATCTTTCCCTTAGGTCCTGTGACTCTGAAGGGCAGCAGCTTTCCAGCTACTTTTGGGTGCCAGCTCTCCCCCGCCATGCTTTCTGTTCCATCTTGGAACATCTCTTAGGAACTGTGGCCAGTTTGCACATTATGGATTTGGATGAGGTGCAGTAGTTGTACTGGGGCATGTATTTGCTAATTTGAGTATGCTGACGTTTCCTTGAGCGTAATATATATTCATCTGTTTTGCAGTGATATGTTTTCTAGAGTCTTTCCATGGACTGTAGAGTTATTTTTCCTTTGTTAATCTTCTGTTTGCTATGAAATGTCCTGCAGTAGATGTTCTTGACCTTCTAGAAACTGGGCTGATGATTTTTATGGCTCTCTTAAAGTGTTGCTAATAGGTTCATAAATACAGCAATTACAAGTATTTGCTTTATAACATGTATTCAGAGCAGTTGATTTAGTGTTTCAAGATAAAGTGGCTCTTGTACTGAAACTGTGTTGTAACAGTTTTGGTGCAGACTTTGTCACCTATTGGAGGGAAGAGATGCCATACCATATATCGTGCATCTTACCAGCCACCCTTTCAAGGCCAGATTTCAGATCTGGTTCCTTTGGCTTAATTCTGGAGCATAAGGATTGCTGTGCTCTAGTGGTCATAACAGTTAGCTAAAACTTAAGCTGCAGCATTGTTATTCTTAAAGGTTTTTGTTCTTAAAAGCATTAAAATTCTTAAAGCTTATTGGTAAAGGTGTGCTTTTTATAGTATTAATAATAAATTTGACTTGATGGTTTGGTTTTAATTATTAATTTCCATTCATTTTAGGGGTGTCACCTGTGTAGTAAGAATTATGAGGAGCAGCTGAGGGAACTGGGGGTGTTCAGCCTGGAGAAGAGACGTAGGGGAGACCTTATCGCTCCCTACAACTGTCTGACAGTAGGGGGGAGCTGGGGGGGGTGTTGGTCTGTGCTCCCAGGTAATGGGCAATAGGACAAGAAGGAATGGCCTCAAGTTGTGCCAGGGAGGTTTAGACTGGATATTAAGAAAAATTTCTTCACTGAAAGGGTTATCAGGCTCTGGAATGGGCTGCCCAGGGAAGTGGTTGAGCCCCGATCCCTGGAGGAATTTAAAAGATGGGTGGATGAGGTGCTTAAAGACATGGTTTAGTAGTAGACAGGTACAGTTGGACTCAATCTTATAGGCGTTTTCCAACCTATGGTCAGAGTCACAGTATTAAGTTTAAAAACACCCTCCTGTATGTACTCACAAAAGCACATGTGTTCTGATTGTTCAGTGTTTTGTCCTACTGTTTTCATGCTGTTCATTCCCCTTCTGTATGGTATCTAAAGTCTGAGCCTTTTGTACAGCCTTGATGATGTTTATGTTATAGTTTAAGCAAGTTCTAAATTAATACAGTTCTTAAAATAATAAAAATGAAAAATACTTTTGAAGATGTCAAGTCTGTCTTCCATTTCTCATGGAGAGATATTTGAAATGCTCGGTGAAAATTCTGGAGGAGCTTTGGAAATGTCGTAATTATCTGGCTAGCACTCTGAAGGGTTTAGCATTCATTATTACAAGATGAAAGCTTTGGTAGGTTGAAAATAGTCATTTGTAACCATAATTTTTTTTTCTTGTTGTAGCTCACGCCCACTCATTCACCCATGCACTTCAACCTCAGAATGATTTCCTATTCTGAGTTCATGGGAATTAGGAACAAGGGTAGCTGTTATCATAGCCATTGTACCAGCTTTAAAAAAAAAAAAAGCGGGGGGGGGGGGGGGGGGGGGGGAGGGGGGGAAAAGAAGAGGGCGAAGGAACAAGGAACAGTTGTATTGATTTCTTGTTCTTCTGATCAAAAGCTTAAGGCAAATACTAAAAGAACTTAAATTCAGAATGCTGTAATTTTGCATGATTTCTAGCTTCTATTATCATTCAAAATGTGGTTTTTGATGTATGACTTTCCGGTAGTTCTGCTTTAGTTTTTGTTTTAGTTTTTTATGTTTAAATTTTCTCAACATTAATCTGTTGCACTGTACTTTTTTGTTGTTCAGAGTATTTCAGTTACCTGGAATGAGAGAAAAATTCTGAATGTAATTAGTGGAAGGAGCAACATTCATCAAAAGTTTCCTTGAAAACTATTTTAAATCCATGAAATTCACGTTGTTTCAGTCAAATGATGAGGGGTTCATGATAAACATTCTGAAAAATAAAAATAATCCATAAGCATGATAGGTAAATTCAGCCTAAAATTGAGGAACTTTTTCTTGAGGAAATCAAAGTATTGGATCTGTTTGCGCTCTGTACGATGTACATATTGAAGTTACGTACATCTGAATTGGGAATGAATGACAACATACTGCAGGGTTTAAACTGCCTCTTCCTCACAGTGAGGGATTGTAGGAATTTGTTCAGATTTGGGGTAAGACTGCTTGTGGTGGTGGTAATCTTGTTTTCACTTCTATCAAATTTTGGGCTCTGAAAGAAGAAATGGTGGGAAGCAGGTGGAGACTGGGAATTGCAGGCGTAGTTATGCAGTGAGTAGTTGGCTCTTATTGGGGTTGCTCTGAGTGTGCAACTGTCTGCAATGTTGTGTATTACCTTGGCCATACCGTGTTCTTGATAAGCTGCTTAGATTGTCTTTTTGAATTGAGGCAAATGTCATGCTTGTGTTGCTACAAGGGTAATTTTTTTTTTTTTTTCAAATGCAGTGATGACATCCTTAATCTTGAACTGTTCATATGGAGGAACACATCAATGATCACATGCTTCCATTTTATTTATGTTCCAATGGGTAACATGTAATAGCTTCAGTTCCTGAAGTGTTATTTTCAAACACAGCCATGCATTTGATCCTTACTTTGACTTGTGTTCTGTTCATATTCGTGGGCCTTTGTACACATACTGACAGTTTTTATGGAAACTATTTGAGAAAATGAACCTTAATTTTATGCTGCTGCAATACTGACTGTGAATTCTCCTCTAGGTGCCCAGATTATTGATTTGATGATGCTTGTAATAGATGTGACAAAAGGGATGCAGACGCAGTCAGCAGAGTGCTTGGTAATTGGGCAAATTGCCTGCCAGAAGATGGTGGTAGTTCTGAACAAAATAGATCTCCTTCCAGAGGGGAAGAGACAAAGTGCCATTGAGAAGATGACTAAGAAAATGCAGAAGACCTTGGAAAATACTAAGTAAGTTAACAGTAATATGAAAACCTGACTTGTAACAAAATGTTTAACAAAAATACGTCACCCACATTTCTTCTCCTTCTAAACACACTGAGATGTCTAGCAAAGGTAAGAGAGCGGAAAGATTACCAGAAACTTGAATGCAGTTCTGAATTTGCATCTGCAAGTATTGTGTGTAGAGAAATATTTTCCTATAATGAAGCTTTTTAGTTAAAGGGCTGCTTGGAGTTCAGACTGGATAAAACACAGCCAGAACATCCAGGTGAAGAACTGTTGTTTTGAGTGTGTGGGTGGGTTTTTTGTTTGTTTTCTTTTTTTTAGTTTATTGGTTTGCAACTTTTGTTGTGATCTGCAAGTCTCTTTCACTCCAGAGAAAAGAAAGTTTTAGGGTTTTTCCTTAACTGAGGATGAAAAATGTGACTGCCCTAACTAGGAAAAGCAGAATGACAGAGGTTTATATAATGGTATGTAGCTCTGGCTGGAATGATTGTCAGTCCTGTTTAGGTAAATTAATTGAGGCACATAATGAGTGAAGTGCAGTGAGGTTCATGATGGAAATTATGAAGTGGGAAGATACAGTACAGACACAATATTTATTCAGTGGTTATGCAAACTGAGGCACAGCTTGCTTTGCCCAGGGTCATAAGGGGACATTGACTCCCACATTTACAGCTTAGGTCATGTTTTGATTTGAAGAATCAAAGCAATAGGATTCAGCATACAGAATTTCACCAGGACCAAAAAAGCAAAGCTTGGTTGGATATGGTGGTTCCTGCTTAGCTTATTTGCAATAGTGGGGCAATGTCCTTTTTCAACTACACAACTGCCACAGCAATGATTACGAAGATCTTGGTATTTTTCCAGCTCCTTTGTTGTTTTTGGGTCCATTCATTTTGCTGGGAATGGTACAGAGGTCACCAAGAATGTAAAATTCTCTCTTGTGAATTCAAATGGAATCTTACAACTTTCAATTATCTCTGGCAGCTGTTAATTTAGGGGCAAATAAATACAGGGTGGCTTGGTTTTCTCTGTAGGTTGCTGCCCCTCATTTTAGGGGAGATAGAGAAAGGAGACACCTGCAATATTTCAAGGCATTTTGGATTAACAATTTTTTGTAGCTGTGAGTTTGATCAAATTCACAGGTAATCCCAATGGGGGTAGCACTGAGCTAGTAAAGCTAGGAAAACTTTAGAGATGGCTATTGAATGGAATTATTACGATTTTATTTGGTTGTTTGAAAGGTTGGTATATAGAATGTCAATTAAGCAGGATTACAATTAATAGTTATTTTCTATCTGTTTCTCATCTGTGCCAAGAAGTTAATGATTTTTAAGAGTTTATCTTAATACAGTACTCACTTTTTATTTTGTCCTTTTAAAATGTTTACTATTCTTGAATGGCAGTAATTGCTGCTGCAGGTGGTACTTCATTCTTGGTTTAGTCCAAGATTGTATTGCAAATGATTGGGGAAAAAAGTCTGTTCTAGTTCCATATTTGTAAAAGTAAGACACATTTTTGTAAGGAAACTGGTGTTCAGAAATACTTTTTATGTACACTATATGAATTAAGCCTTCTCTTTATATTCTGGAGTACAGATGGGTCTTTACAGCATGGTTTGAAAATTAGCAGACTTTGTCAAAACTAAAGGGGAAGTCAGTTTTTGAAACAGTTGACATGTTAACTGTGAGGTCCTTACCTCCAGCCCCCTTTTAAGACAAGGTTGTGTATCAGCTGATCATAACAGCTGTGATTCCACCAGGAGAGAAATGATCCCGTCGTAATGTTTTAATTACCCATTTGAACTCTGGGTCCTAGAAATGCTTCTTTTATTGGATGTGTCTGTGTTGTTCCCATAACAAAAACTAAGTTTTTGCGCATGCAGTCTGTGCTTTATGGTGCTTTGAAAGCACTGCTGACCTGGGCTTGATTGTAAAGTGCTTGCCCTGTTGTACCTTAGGCATGTGGTGTTTCTTGACAGTCTCTTTCCCACCTGACTTTGACTTTCCAAATGCATGTATGTTAACTGTTTTTGTGTTTCTAAACTACTCTTACTAGCAGAGTACATGCTGAGACCATTTGACAGCTGCCTCTGACCCCAAACACTTGGTGATGGTTTTTTCCAGGAATAGTCTACTTGTTGATTGTTATTTCTTGTTGATTGTTACTTCTCTACACACAGAGGCATGCACGCACAATTCCATAGCATAAGCAAGTCTGAAGTCTGTTGCAGCTGTAGTGTGGGTATTGCCATTGATGCTGGGTAAATTATTGTAGTGTTGTCAGGAGGTTCCATGGAAGGTGGGGGGAAAAAATAGGTAGAGGAAAGTAACTGTTACATATTTGAATAGTTTGACAGTTTTAAATTAACCTGTGAAACTTGCTTATTATATGGATTGATACCAAAACTAAAAGCAAACTGTCCCTGTGAATGGAATTTCTGTTTATTCATAATTTTTTGCACATGCCAGCTTTTATCTTTGTCCATGAGGGTCTAAACTCTGCTGACAATAAATCGATGTGATGGAGTAAGAGTTGTAGGGCTGAATGTTGTTTGAAAGTACCTCCAAACGTACTACGTGATTCCAAAGCTAGTATGCGATTACTCCAGTTTGTTTCGGTATATGGGAAAGGAATAAAGCACTGATTCAGCATAAACTTCTATTTCTTGCAATACAGTGCCCTAAAGTATTTGTATGAAAATGAGTTTCTAAAAGTTCTATTGTTAATCACAGGAATTTTCAGTGCATGCTTTTATTACCCTTTGTCCCTAGATGCCTTAGACTTATGGTGTATAAACACAGAAAATTGATTACTAGATGAGTGCTCTCTATAGAACTTAGCATTTTTTCTTTATAAAGGCATTGTCTTTTTCCTCCAGTTCACTCCCTTTTTGAGAGAAAAAAATCTGTGGGGAGGTGGGTGTCAAAAGGATGACCGCAATAATTACCTTTGGTCTGAATCTGTTGCATAAGAATCATGTACTTCTTTGTATTATTGCTGATTATTGTTCCATTGCTTGAATAAATATTTCTTACATGGTTAATTCTGACTTTTGCAGAAATGCAGTAATAATTTGAGTTACAGTCTAACTTCTCTTTCCAAAATTTAGGCAAAGCAAGCTATTAGATTATTCAAACACCAGGTTTCATTTTAGGGAGCAAAAGTTACAAATTCAGTCAGGAGACTTAAATAAAAAAAAAAAAAAAAAAAAAAAAAGCTGCTGAATATTAAGGACTCGAAGAGTAAAATTAATTGTAAGAAAAGAGCTAAACTGAGGTTAACTGTGGAGCTAAGCTGAGGTCACCTGTGCTCTGCTCTGAACCTTTGCATGTTTGAGATTGTGGGTTTCATGAACTTTGATTTCAGTACATTTCGATCTTACTGTTGTCAGCAGATTTTGCTGGCTGCCTGCAGGCTCAGGTAGGCATCATATGCCATCTTGCATTTGGCTCCCATTTTGAAGGTTATGACTCTATAGCTAGGAATATAATCACTTTAATGAAAGTTGAAACCAGCACTAGTCTCCAGGTAAAATGGCTCGAATGCAAAGCTGCTGCCATGAAAGCAGGTAACAGACCCTTGCTTCTGAAATAAACCTGAAGTCTTGCTTTTGACTGCCACAGAGTTGAATCACTACCTAATACTGAACAGGATTGAAGGTTTCATCGTGAAGTCCAGTAGCACAGATACTAGTAATTAAAGAAAAAATTGTCAGTTATTCACTGTGGGGGAAGAGCAGATAAATCTGAATTTGAGGGAGTTTCCTTGCCGCCTTTGTCGAATGAGCATGGGACTACTTTATATAGACACATGTAGGATATCTGTGGTCTAATGGTGGGAGCCTTTTTCTCTTTCAGGTTCTGTGGGTGTCCTATTGTTGCTGTTGCAGCAAAGCCCGGTGGACCGGAAGCCCCAGAGTCTGAGAATCCCCTAGGTGTTTCTGAAT